GCTCTCCTGACATACTCCCCATGCTCCCCCATAGTACTGTACCTCGGCATCCCATCCACCGCGGCCTCGAAGACACACTGGTACATCTGCATGCTCTGCGGGGTGAAGGACACGGTGACAAAGCCGTGCCCGTGACTCTGCACCGTCATGCGCGATGGCTGGATTTCGTAGATGTCGTTGATCCGAGCCGTGGACTAGAGAGAGAAGAGTGGACAATATATATAGCACATGGTGATGACACAGGTGATGACACAGGATCCTCGGCGCAGCCACATCCTGGATTGGCCGGTGCCACGTGGCGCGCTGTATGTTACCATCCCCCATTGACCGCACACACGGAGACCTCCGTACCTTACTGGACACGGGCTTGATGCTTAACGTCACATCGCACGCCACTTTCCCGCTGTTGATGATCTTAAAGCGGGCGCAGGAAGTCTGTCCCACGATGACGTTCCAAAACAGGAAGCGGCTCTCGTCTTTCAGGTAGATTCCGCCGGAGTCCAATGGCGGCAGACACTGGAGGACCCTGGCGTCCCCGACAATTCGGTGCTCCTCAAATATGCTGCCGATGTCATCCGTGACGAATCCTGCAAGGAACAAAGGGGTGAGGATCACGCAGAGGTCCACCACGTCCTACATGTCACTGCAATGTAGACTCGGAGTATGTACGTGGTCAGTGTGACGTGTGCGGCAAGGTTCACACGTCACCGGGATGAGGGGAATCAGACGTACCCGGAGTGCAGCCCTCGGTCACAAGGCGGAAGGGGATCCCATTAGGATGGTCATCTGGGTTCCGGTCAGAGATATCTACAACCAGGAATTCCTCACTCTTCCCAAGCTGATCCACAAGACAGTCCACGGCGATCACCTGCTGACCCCCCGGAGGAATGCTTCCAAAGATGGGAGACACAATGAACATGCCCAGAGCAATGCGTGCCTGGAAGATTGACATGACACATGCGTGAGACAAGCTGGATCTCCAGGCAAAGTCCACAATAACCCTGTCCACCCCACTATGGTCCACCCCACTATGGTCCACCCCACTATGGTCTACCAACTATGGTCCACCCACTATGGTCCACCCCACTATGGTCTACCAACTATGGTCCACCCACTATGGTCCACCCCACTATGGTCCACCCCACTATGGTCCACCCCACTATGGTCCACCCACTATGGTCCACTCCCACAATGGTCCACCCCCCTATGGTCCCCCCACTATGGTCCACCCCACAAAGGTCCACACCACTATGGTCCACACCACTATGGTCCACACCACTATGGTCCACCCACTATGGTCCACCCACTGTGGTCCACCCAGTGTGGTCCACCCACTTTGGTCCACCCACTATGGTACACCCCACTATGATCCACCCCACCTCTGCGCACTCCACTCCCATCCATCCCACCTTTGTTCACCACTCTACCATCCACCCTGCTCCCTTCTACCTAACCTCACTCCCCTCCTCCCTGCTCCCCTCCACCCCGCTCCACCCCACTATGCCGTCCACCCCGCTCCCCTCCACCTCACTGCCCTCCACTACTCTACCATGCACCACAATACCATCAACACCACTCCCCTCTACCCTGCTCCCCTCCACCCCACTTACCTCCACTCTACTGCCCTCCACCACTATGCCATCCACCCCACACCCCTGTACCCTGCTGCCCTCCACCCGCTGTGCAGTCCACCCCGTTCAACACTACCCTGCTCCCCTCTACCCCTCCCCACTTACCTCCACATTGCTCCCCTCCACCCCACTGCCCTCCACTCCTTTACCATACACCACTATGCCATCCACCCCGCTCCCCTCTACCCTGCCCCCCTCCACCCTACTTACCTCCACCTCACTGCCCTCCACCAAACACTCCCATCCACCCCATTGCTGTCCACCCCACTAACCTACACAGTCCAGCTCAATCCTATCCAGCACACTCTAGTCCCATGTAAGGTGCCACTGAGAGAAGATGATTGTCAGCCTCTGTGTAGGACATTACCACTGACCACGGCATCTTCTTCAAGTGATTGTATTTCCAGTGTATAGAATATATACATTTCATATACCCCTGTGTCTTCTACCCCATCTGACAAACATAGAGATATGGGCCCACCTGTCCAGAAATGTTCGTCTCTCTTAGCTGGGAATCAGAGCGCTTGGTTTTACTTAAGGCAACAGATCTGCTGGATCCGGAACCCTCCCGGGATCGAGATCTCTTCATGCCATGAGCCGGCCTGGAACACAAATGTGCATTCATCAGAAGAGGCTGCGAACTTTTATATGGGTGAAGCCGAACTCCAGGAGAAAGCTAAAGATACAGTTCCAGTATATACACGGGAACCGCCTGACATGCTAACCCTAACCCTAACCCCAGATACCCCTGCTGGGCAACATTGCTGAGGGCCATTCATCTTAAGACCTTTCTGCAGACTGGTCCAGCATATGAGGAATATAGCCTGGTCCGGGACCCGACCAGGGCCCTGTAGGTGTCTTCTATACATGATGTCCTCTATGGGCCCTGTACATGATGTCCTCTATGGGCCCTGTACGTATCTTCTATGGGCCCTGTATGTGCCTTCTATGGGCCCTGTATGTGCCTTCTATGAGCCCTGTACATGTCCTCTATGGGCCCTGTACATGTCTTCTATGGGCCCTGTACATGTCTTCTATGGGCCCTGTGCATGTTCTCTATGGGCCCTGTGCATGTTCTCTATGGGCCCTGTACATGTCCTCTATGGGCCCTGTACATGTCTTCTATGGGCCCTGTGCATGTTCTCTATGGGCCCTGTGCATGTCCTCTATGGGCCCTGTACATGTCCTCTATGGGCCCTGTACATGTCTTCTATGGGCCCTGTGCATGTTCTCTATGGGCCCTGTACATGTTTTCTATGGGCCCTGTACATGTCCTCTATGGGCCCTGTACATGTCCTCTATGGGCCATGTACATGTCCTCTATGGTCACGATCGGTG